ATTCATGTAGTTCAATGGCATAATTTGACGTAGGCTCATTGTTATTTCTTATTACAAACGGCCTGTCGAATGTGTTAAAATCTTTCGTCTTACTAAATTGATGAGTCTATCGTAAACTAAAATAGCAGATCCTGATAATATTAACTAAGACCCCTACGCATGACTTGCCTTAAGCAAATATCAGCTTGTGGCGGTATAACAGGGAAAAGATCTTTATTCTTTTTTATTCATTACCATTTATTAATTTTCTTTATTATTTTACAGATATTATGCTTCAAGTAAGCGATCTACAGAATAAACTTGCTGCTGTTCTGAAATATATTGAGCAGCAGCAGCAACAGCAGCAGGAGCAGCAGCAGAAGCAGGAGCAGCAGGAGCAGCAGCTGGCTCCGCAGTCGCCACCGCCGACGCCGACGCCGACACCGTCGTTAAATAATGGTATGTTGTTCAATACATACTATCTAAATGTTGTTGGTAATGTTTTTGTTCACCAGTAATTAAATCAATAATTAATCAATTGTTTCGACATAACTGGCTATATTTAATTTGTCACAATAACAACGTTTCGACTGCAAATCGCAGTCCTCTTCAGGTTAATTTACGAGACAAGCATTTACGATACACATTATTGTGGTAGCAATAAGTATTATACGTAATGTTCGTCAATTAATTAAATCGGTTCTTTGAATTCGAGCAACGAGCAGGATCCTCTCGATACTCTCAGATGTACGGACACATGGATCCTGCTCGTTGCTCGAATTCAAAGAACCGATTTAATTAATTGACGAACATTACGTATAATACTTATTGCTACCACAATAATGTGTATCCCCGGGAAAAAATGGAAAAGATCTGAACAGACCTGATCAGATCAAATCAGATCAAATTCGTTTATATCTGATTTGATCAAAATATTGGCCCTATCTGATCAGATTTAATCAGACATGAGTAGATCTGATCCGGTCCTAGCGGACGAGGTCAGATAGAATAAGAATAATCTATATCTGATCAGATCCACTCAGACATGAGTAGATCTAATCTGATCCTGGCGGACGAGGTCAGACATGACAAGAATAATCTGTATTTGCTCGGATCCAATAAGACATGAGTAGTCTGGAAGTCGATCATGAATTTTTTCACACGTAAAGAGTGAAAAATTTCTCCATTGCCTACTTTTTCTAGCGAAGGACATACAAGAAGAAGGCAATGGAGAAATTTGTCACTTTTCACGTATGTAAAACAATTCATTATCGACCCCCTGATCTGATCCTAGCGGACATATGGCCACCCTTACGAAAAATACACAACAATTATAGGGTTTTTCCGAGTGTATAAATTTAATTTAACATTATATGATAAGTGACGGTATAACTATTTAGTAACATTTTTTAATTTCTTGAAATTAAATTTTACATGAAATCATAATAATTAATGCGGTATCTTGTTGTCTTTCCTTAAAAATATTAATTAACTTTTATAACTATAATTTTAGTATTTAGTGAAAAATACTAAAATAATGTTAAAGTGAATATAAAATAATATTTTTAAAGAAAACTGTCAAAATTCCGCATTCATTATGTAACGAGGGCGACCGGGGAGGCGCGGCCGTGTAGAAAAAACCCGAATTCCTCGAGCGAGAGAGAAGGCAATAGAGCCAGCCGGAGAAAATCGATAACGCGCGGTTGCCACGTCGGAGTCAGCCGGCGAAGAAAATCGATAACGCGCGGTTGCCGCGTCGGAGCCGGCTAGAAAATCAATAATGCGCGGTTGCCACGCGTTGACGGCAACCGGCAACGCCGCGCCCGCGCCCGCCGCCTCACCCCGCGCGCCTCCGTCCGGGGGGTATAAAAGCCCCTCCGGAGCAGGCGCTTGTATCTCAGTTGACGCTTGGTGCTCCGACCGTCAACACCGGGCAGCGGGTACCTCCGCTGCAGGTATAAGCCGGAGCTGAATGGGTGCTCCTGTCTCCGGCTATATACCGAACCGGAGCACACAGTGGAGGCTCTACTCCGTTGTGGGCCCCGTCCCGCAGTAGCGTACGCCTAACGGGGTGCTCCTCGGCGTACACACGCTACAATTTCTCCGCACCGGTCTCCCGTTCCGTCCTGACTCCGTTTTCCCCGAAGGCACGGGTACCGCCGTGATTCGGGGGGCGGAGTGATTCCGCAGTAGCGTACACCTAACGGGGTGCTCCTCGGTGTACAATTCCTACTGCAAATTCACGCATCACGAGGCGCCGCTCGGGCGTGATCCTGTCCTGGCCCGATCCTTTCCTGTTTCCTGACCGGTATAGAACTCAGGGGGGTAAAATTTGGGTGGGAAAGAATATTTTCCATTAGCTTTAATAGTAAGCTCCGTAGTATTAATTCCGTTGCTATTTCTCCCCTTGCAGACCAGAGGGGTCCGTGCAGTCATCCTGCCTGACTGTTTCCAGTATCACCAGTGTACTCCGTATTTTCCGTACTCCGTAATTAATCCGTATTATACTCCGTATTTTCCGTACTCCGTTACAATTCTGTATTTTATCCATTATCTCCGTACTCCGATTTGATTCCGGATTGTACTGCTTATTTTCGTGTTCCGATCAAACTCCGTATTGTATCCATTAATTTCCGTATTCCGTTATAAATCCGTAGTGTACTTATTATATTCCGGATCGATTCCGTACTTTCCGTACCTTGTAGTAAATCCGTGTTGTATTCACTTACTTCGTACTCCGATCAAGATCCGTATTGTAATTATTATTTTCCGTACTCCGATTGATTCCGACTAACCATATCCTGTTTTTCTCTGTATTTAACCACAGGGCGGACTCGCTGTAAATATTAATCCTTTTCCTTTCCTTTATATTTTCACTCTAGGGCGGATCCATTGTAATCACCACGAGATCCTTTGTATTCGTTCCTGAATAAATCTAGTTCACGTTTATTTCACCTTTAAATACCTGTACGACTTATTTTCCGATCCCCCCAAGCGATTGACTCCACTAAGTAACTAAGATCTAGTCCTCCTTTCCTCCCGACGGCCCTGGAGCTGAGCATATTCGGCAAATAGGAGGAACGGAGGATCCCTTTTTCCCGTTACACAGCACGTCAAATACCGACCGAGACGACGCTCGCTCTTCCGACCGATTAAGTTGAACCGCGCGTCTGATAGTTACGCGAAGCACAAGCGGATTGCGGAATCCCGTCCGACAATCCGGAGACCAGAACCGGGAAGAGCGGGAAACGTATCGTTACAATTATCATGTTTTCTTGTGATTTCACTTTTCAAGAAATTAAAAATATAAATAGTAACATTATTTACAGAATAATAATTATTTAAGAAAAACTATATTTATAATGTACTTTTTGTAAGGAATAGACACGATGCAAATAATCCAGGTTAGATCATATATACAGCTATAATAACATAATTTAAAAAAAAAAGTAACAATTTAATATTATTTATTACTTATACTATAATGTATATGTTTACGTAGTGTGTTATACATATCATACTCGGTATTACACAAAATCACAGATAAAATGCTTGTATAAAAGTAATATCGTTGAATTTTTCACGGAAAGATTGATGGGAAGAAAGTTAACGTAATTCCTAAAATTATAAATAACAAAAACTAGATTTAGAAAATAATACGGACTATGTCGCACCGAGCAACGCCAGAGAGCACTTTAAGTCAATATTAAAAATCGCGAATAACGAAAATAAATATAATACAGTAAATCTGACCTTTGCTTCGTAAAACCAAACAGACAAATAAAAGGTAAATGTCCTTAAGTCATCAACGCCGACTGTAATAAGTATTGTGGCGATCCTGGGAAGTTATCTGGGTGTTAACTAGAGCGTTGAATGTTCCTTAAGCTCTATATCCGTGCTATCCTTTAATTAAGTTGGAGCTGTGAATAGTCGAATAATATTAATTCAATTGGTTATAAACATCGCATCAGCGTTCGCAACGTCCCAGTATGACTGAAGTCACACTTCGACGTCACAGCGACCGCCGCAACGATCTTCAAGGTAGAGAAGGTGATTGAGTACGTCACAACTCTAAGCCATGACGATATCAAATTATAATTGAGGATGGACATCACGGTTGTAAGCCGTGATGATCTCAAGGAGTGCAGTTTTCTGCGTGCGTCACGGCTGCGAACCGCGACGAGTCTCAGAGTATGCAATTGCTTGCTTGCGTGCGTTGCGAAAGCGAGATGCGACGAGTCTCAGATGTGCAGTTGCCTGCGTGCGTCGCAGTCGCTATCCGCAACGTTTCTCAAAGTTGAAAAGAGAGAGAGAAAGTACCTTCTGGAAATCCAGACGATCCATTTGTATGGCCAGCATCAATCTATCAGAGCTAACAGCAGGTTGGCTAACCTAACTTTTTTTTTTGACCCGGTGGAAATCCTCATGGACCATCACCCGTTCCCTCTGGAGAAGGGAACGGGTGGTGTGTGGGACTCGTCTCCCTGGCACTTGGGCAATTGACAAACCAAGGCCAGTGTGCAATAGAGACGCCTACCGCACTAAAACCACCGGGGGTGGACTTCTCTGCGCATGTCTGGGCCACCTAGGAATCGCCGAGCATTGTTCTTCTCGGTGGCCCTGCGCTGCGCGTGACTCGCGCTCTCCTATGGCCTACTTAAACTCGGCCCGGCCCTTACAAGGGCCTTCTACTACATCTGCGACGAGGGTGCCACCGGCCCCTCGCCGCTCCCCCTAGTTGCTTGTGGGGGAGGGCGGGTCGTGGGTCTCCAGCCCACGCCCGCTCACCAGGGGTCCCGTAGGACTTCCTGGTTTAAAGCTCCTTTTAGTCGCCTCTTACGACAGGCAGGAGATACCCCAGGCCTATTCTTACTGCGGGACCTGGACGCCAAAACTCCCCCTTTCCTTCTCGTGCATCCCTTGATGCTCCTTGTCCTTGCGGCAAACTGCCGCGGACTGCCTCCTCCTTCTCACTGGGGACACCCAGAAGGGGGGTCAGACACCCCTTGCCAGGATGTCCTCTACCACTTTCGCAAGTGCGCCGGTATGCCGCGGGGGACTCTCCTACGTTGTCCTCCTCGCTGGCTGTTGTTCCCTCCAGGCTGGGGGTCCGGAGGAACGACCTCTCCCCTCCTTTTCCTCTCCGCCTGCTCTTTCTGCTGCATTACCCGTTCGCAGTAGAGCGCAAAAGCCTCCCAGGCCTCCTCCCGCTCCGTGACGGCCTTTACCACCGCCGGCAGCGAGAGGTCTCCTCCTATTACGTTTATGAGGACACGGCGCTCCTCGTCCCACGCTGGGCAGCTGTCCAGCGTGTGTTGCGCCGTGTCCCTCTCCTCATCACAGTGGTGGCACCGTGGATCGGGTTCCCTCTGCATTCTCTGCAGGTACTCACCAAAGCATCCATGCCCGGTGAGCACCTGCGTTGTCCTGTAGGACGCCCGTGTCCATGAGCGTTCTACCCACTCGTCTAAGTGAAGGAGAATGGCTTGTATCGTCCTCTGGCCTGCTCGCCTCGGGTCGGCAAGCCATGTTCGCCACTCCTCCCTCACTTCCCCCTTGATGCGGAGGCTGAGGAGCCTCCTCCCCCTCTTGGGCACCGGGATCCCCCTTGCCCTTTGCTCCGCCACTTTCTCATATACACGAGCGTGTGCGCGAGCATTCATTCCGATGGGGGGCATCCCGGCCATCAACGTGGCTGCCGCGTGGGAAATGGTTCTATATCCTTGGCTTTTTTTTTACCCAGTGGAAATCCTCATGGACCGTCCCGCCCCGGACGGAGACGGGGGTGTGTGGGACTCGCCCTCCCTGTACCCCAGGCAATTGACCACCTGGGGCCAGCGTGCAATGGAGGGCGCCTACCGCACTAAAACCACCGGGGGTGGTCTTCTTAGCGCCATGTTGAACCAGCCGGGGACTGCGACGCATGTACTTCCAGGCTGGTTCGGCGCCGCGCACCTTGACTTGGCGCGCCCCTCTTGGCTCAGCAGAGCATTGCCCATGTATCTTGGGCACTCATCTGGCGCTTCTTACGCGCCGCGACGGGGGTGCCACCGGGTCCCCGCCGCGCCCCCTAGGTATTG